AGACGCTGCTCGCAGGCAGACGTAAAAGCTGCAATCACAATTACATACAGTCAAACAATATAATCACGTTATTCAATAACACAATAACTGCTTCTTTGCCCTACGTTTGAACGATACAAAAACCTGAGGAGTAAACTCCAAATCCCCTACAAACCCTCCCGTAACGGAAAAGGTCGTATCCCTAGCTAAAAATAGGGATTTCATTCAAAATTCATTCAAGTGAATGGGCCAGCTTCAAATTCCTTGGTGGCAGGGGGGGGGGGGTAGAGGGGATGTGAGATTCCTATTCTCCATGGCGTTTCCATCTCCTGAGCTTAGTCCAAGTGCCACCGATCGGCGGTTTTTGATTTTCCTGTATTGAATGTGCCCCCCCCCCTAAGGCCATGAGCGCCCAAAATGCCACTATCATTCAGAACGGCGGTAGAATGCGTGGCGCGTCTACTGATTTATGCTTTACGCTTAATTACAATGTTTTTGCTGATGCTGTTCATCGGAGAGCAGCGGGATGGTACAAAAGACAGCTCTTAAGATTGAGGGTCTATTCCAATAAGGGGAGGGGCGGCAGCCTGGTGCAATAATTGGCGCTGGCTACAGTAATTCTAGTTTTAGCAGGGGAAGAATCGTGAACTGAGTGAAAGAATTCGTTTATGCAAAAAGGAAACTAAGTAGGTATTACGGTTCCATGAACCTCAATTTTAAGTGGATATTTTTGAAATATTGAGCTTCCTGCAACTGAATGGCCCTCCTTCCCCTCCCGCCCCCCCCCCCCTCCCTACCTCATTGGGATAGATCTATAATGATGATGAGCAATAAAATGTTTTCATTTGAATTTTTACATTTACGAACACCGGGACAACTCGTAATGCACACGCGTCGCATGACGCGACGCACTATTTTCACATTTGTTGAAACGTTGCGATTGCTGAAAGTGTATGCGTTACTGGATAGAAAAATTTGTTGGATATTTTGTACTTACATTATTTCGATGACAAATTTCAATGGGCGGTCTTTATGAAGTTCCCAGTTTGAAACACCGGGGATGGCGTTAATGTTTACCCACCACAGAGGAGCCATTTCTATCTTCCGGTGGGCGTTACTGAAGGTCCGTGTCATAAAAGATAAACACTCAGCTGGCACGTGAGCACAGTGAGAAGTGATGTCGCAGGTTTCGACTGATGGTGAGTGATAGTTTATCGGCTTTATTTATTCTTCACGTCAAAACATCATTGATCAATCACACGTATCGATCCATTTATTGATTACCTCTCGACCTCTACTTTGCTCGTCGATGTTTATTACTTCCATTTTTTGATGTGTTTGAGCCTAAATGTATATTTAGCACTTTTTATTTTGATATTTTGATAGGCATCATTTCGCTTTTTCTTATTTGAATGTTTGAGCCTAGAATTTTTTTGAGATATTTAAATACACTTGATATCTGCCCTAATTACTTTGTTTATTTACTTGATTTATTTTTTAGATTTTTTATTTTATTTTATTTTTATTCTTTATTTTTATTTTATCATTTGTTTTCATTTTATTTTATTTTACTATAACATCCCACACCGGCCGGTAGGTATCCAGGCACAAACGTTTGCTGATGATACGATAGGAAATTTCTGAAAAAATTCCCGTTTCAGGAAGATTACTGAGTTATTTATAATGGAACTGAAACGGTAAATTTTCTCAAAAACCGAATCCAATATTTTTTAAGATAGGGCAGACACGACTGATCTGAATTCGGAGCGTCTCGAGGAAAACCATCGGAATTTCGCTGAAGTTTTGGATCGTCTCGATACAAGCACTGCTCAAATTCGTCTACTACGACAATTGGTCGAGCTACGTATTCGAGCCTTAGAAATAGCACAGGAAGCCCTGGAAGGTTAGTTTAAATAAAAGTGGAGCTTAATTTTTAAACATCCATCGAAGTGAAAAAAAAAATTAAAGGAGACCTCGTGATTGGAGGAAAATCGTGCCTCCTTCAATCACAAATCTGAGGCTCCTTACAAGCTAATTATGCCAATAGTCAAAAAAATTAATAGAATCCCAAAAGTTTTACGTCTACTGAGCTTAGTAAAAGAAACGTGTCCGTTGTGGTCGACTTTGCAGCTGCGAATTGTAGAAGCGTTGAACTGGGACGACCTGTCGCCATTATTTGGACCCGACAGGAGGCTTCGTTCAGAAGCAGAGTCAGCGACGAGTCGGCAGCGCGTAATTTCGCGTTAAGTGAATCAGAATACACGGTTTGTACGTGCTACATCATCGCACATCACGCGCTACGGCTCATTCTCCGACTCTCTCTTCTTGCCCTGCACGGGCCTCCTGTCGGGTACTACCCCTTTATTTGCATCTGCCAGAGCGAACGCCTACCAAATATGGTCGGCGAATGACGGGAAATTTGTCTGGGTAAGGGAGAACTATGGTTGCATAAGTGGTGCCTTTCATCGCCTTCGATTTTACAGTTATTCGTACTTAGAGAAAATTTCTTCTAAATTTGCTAGTTTTTGATATTTTCAATTGGTATTCGCCCTCAATAGCTCTAGCCTTCATCAAACTAGCAGTTCTTTCACAAGAATGCTGGGTTGTGAACAAAACTTTCGCCCCAGGCGGGACTAGAACCCGCACCTCTCGCTTTCCGGGCAAGTGCGCTACCAGTTACGCTACCGGGGCACCATTTCATCCCAACTCAGCTTTTCATAGCTTGCAGCATTTCACACGTACTGAGCCGGTTAGCCGACATCAGCAATGAACCGTAAGGCTGAAAGCTTTAGCAATGATTTTGGCTTGTTTTCGAATGTTTATTAACAAGACCTTTTCCGAAATTTCTCTTTGTGATAAATTTAGCTTGACCTCCGTGTTCGATAGGTTAATTTCGGTGGAATCAAATACGCATTGATTTGACGCGAATACTTGGCGCCGTACACCTTCTAAACTTCAGCTCCTGTACGCGGGTTCAGCACGCCAAGCGCCAAAGAGTTACGATAAGTCGTATTTCACGGGCCAAACGAATTCGAAAGGCTAATTTCGTTTGGTATAACGTTGTGGATAAACATGGGTACTATTCAGCAACTTCTAGAGAAATGTGAGGTAGTTTAAATATGTAATGCCCTTGAATCTTCATGTCATCGTCAAAGATTGACCTCCGATTCCCATAGCAAGAAAATCAATACATTTTGTAATATAGCTTTTCTTTTGCAAATGAATTTATCAGTGGCCAGCAACACCGTCAAAAGAAGCTTTATTGCTGGTTTTCACTGCAGAATCTCTCCGAGTGAGCTTTGGTCAGTTTTATGAGCTTTATCGACTTAAAGGCAGGTGATACGATAAATTGCATATGGGTAGGAGAAATATCACTGCTGTTAAGAAAGCTAGGCTCTACGTTCCTGCGTTGATGCACGCTCTCGAAGGAAATGAGAGAACCCTTTACAAGTCCCCTTAAAGCAACAGTCCAGGCAGGGTTTCAACTACTTGGTCATTAGGCGGTCAAAACATGCCCCAGCCCAACTAAAGTTTATAGGAAATGTCTTTAAGTTCAAAACCTACCTCTAAAATGCGCTGGAAGGGGTCGAAGTCCTCTTGGAGGGGGCGGATCACCCATAAAGAGGCGGATCGCCCAACATACGCTGTGCAGAGTCCGTGCTTGACTAGCGGTCGTTGCGGGACCGCCGCGCTGTATGAGGTCGATTCCATAAGAACGCAATTGAAGCGCTTCAATTTCGATTGCTGGCAAATAGTTATGTATTTGCAAGCATGCAGCTATTTGCCAGCAGTTGCAATTAAAGCGCATGTACTACGGGCAGGTTCGGACAACTCGTCCAACACACGTCTCCCTAAACGGCAGGGCATGTCCCTGTCTAAGCCCCAGTTGGGCGTTTTCTTCACTTTTTCTCTTTACGTTCGACCACTTTTCACCTACAACTTCCATATAGGTGCTTTTGGCCCGCAAATTCGTTCCTGGACTGTTGCTTTAAGCCTTGATCCTTTCGTGTCTCTGCACGTGCTGATCTCTTGCGCTCAAACTCTAGCTAATTGAGCAAAGACGCTGAGTGGACTGCTCACGATTGACATCAGAAAACTCGAGGCTGGTTCACTGCAGAAATCGAGGCCAAAAAATTCAATCTCGTTTGAGGACTTTTTGAATTTTTTCTTCGCTTTTCTTGGCGCTATCGCAATATATGGGGGCACTGTGGTGGGCAATGTATTCGGACCGCGTAAACCATCTCCTTTTTCATTCTTCATCCCGGAATTTCCGCGTTGATTGATCACTTTCCGAAGTGCGCCATGCGCCCGACCATTGTAATCACAGTGGTTCCCCCTTGTCCCAGTCTGTCCCGGCTAACCGTGCCTTTTGAAATGGAAACAGTGGAAGTGGGCAGCCTCATCGGTGTGCGGCGCGACGAGATTCGATCCAGTGATCGATTCTTTTGGATCCCTTTTTGAACTGTGCGCAAATCAACATACCCTCCCTTCAAAAAGCCAGAAAGTGTCGGGTGCAGACCATACACCACAAGTGACGACGGCCTCCAGAAAATGCAAATGTTTTTTGCCAATGAAATGATTAACCTGTTACAGTTGTATTCGATCAGTTGACACTAATTACAACTATCATTTACTAAAAATCAGCTATCACTATGAACCACTACTAACCAGATTTACTTGGAGGCCGTCGTCACTTGTGGTGTATGGTCTGCACCGCACACATTTCTGGCTTTTTGAAGGGGAGGGTACTTGAGACTGCCCGATCATTACTATATCGACTGCTCGAACCATTTACGTGTGTGTATAATCCTCAGTCAGGAATCGTTCGCCCGGACCCCTTTAAAATCTGTGCTGTCCTAGAAATATACAGAAAGGCGTTTTCCTGGTAGTTTTCCGAGTCTCTGCCTTTCACAGTAGTGAAGCGGCACAGATTGGGAATTCTGCGGCGTTTCCCTCTTTCTCTTTTTTCTGCTTTTTTTTTTTTTGATGCCCTTTCTGAATGGATTCTAAGTTAGAATGTATCACGTCCTGTTGCACTTTTCTGCCTTTTTCATCTTATTTCAACCAACAGGTTTTTATGGCGGAAATGGCGCAGTGGTTGGAAGCGCCAGCCATTTGGGGTCATTTTGCGCCCACCCACGTGGGGTTCCATCCTCCTCTTTGTTTGTTTATCATTTAACGCTTCATCGGTATCGCGCTAACTTCCTACTCTCCACAACTACTCATCCCCAGACCATTTATATTACCCACGTCATCAGTCCCCAACTCAAAAACCCTTTGAACAAACCAAAGCTGCGATAATATATGACTAATTTGTGCTACTCATACAGTTATAAACCCAAACAAACAGATGATTCAGTTCATTGTCTGCTTGTGAATCATCTGAAAGGCGAAATTATCACTGTGGATAGAGGCGCATGTGATTCGCTTACAGGCCTGCAAGGTCGAACCCTACCCGGGTTAGTAGGCCATCTTAAACAATCTCAGGACGGTTATTTGTTACCGAACTTGTTCTGTGGGAAATCTGTTGGCTTTGAAATGTAGGGATCCAAGGACAGCCGTACGTTGACAATTTACGAAGGGGGTCCTAATCGGGTTTTTTTGGAGAGGGCGTCATATTTTGGTTTTTGTATTGGTGATAGTGACATAGAGTAGTGGTACTTGATATTTTCAAAGGTGGTCTTGGAATTGGACAAAAGTTGGGGGGGGCTGTTGCGGTGGAGGGGAGAGGGGTCGGTTTTGACGGGGTTTTGAACTTTTGATGGAAACTTTGGGAACGGTGGGAGAAATGGACAAAGTTACAGTATTTACCGCTTCATTACCTCATTCAAACACCCTGACGAATCCTTTAGAAGAGATGTGCACGGCGCATCCCAACATGGACCTAGCACTAAAATCTTCATTCGGTTTTCGTTCCCATGCAATTATTCCTATATTTTCAGAAACGCGGGATGGTGACAGTGTTTCGACACCGGCAAATCGCACACACTATGAATCAATGATAAGGTGTGGTTTTGAGGTTGACGCGGCCGTTATCTATCAGTTTAATGATTAACAGCGATGGGCGCAAATAGACTTCGTTAGAACTCAGAATTCAGTTTCAACCCTCAAATGCAAAGTCCGAGGTAGAGTTGAGGTTTATTGTGCTGGTGACAGGGAAGTGTAACGTCAGAGATAAAAAAGAAAACAGGACACAATCGTGGACAAGGAGGAACTAGCGATGAAGCAAAACAGCTTGCGCAGTTCGGGGCGGGCCTGCAGGTAATGGTGGATCTGTGGGTCTTATGGAGCCAATGCCTCAGCAGCAGTTGCATCGTGGTCGCAAGTGTATACATAGTGCCTGCAGCTTGCCTTCCAGTCCATAGACGATAGAAATAATTTAGTGATAAAATCCGGCTTTGCCTACTTTTATTGTACTTTTTCGCTTCACCAATGAAACAAGCAAGGTGAGGGAGAGGACCTTCATATTCTCAGGAAGATCGCGGACTGATGGGATCATCCGGGGCGAGGAGAGGGTGATGTGCGAGAGAGTACGGCGTCCGAGCGGATCAGACCTCCAAGTGCTGCGGACGAGTAATAAATGAGCGGTGGTAGGATTGAGGCACGGGCTCTAGCGCTGTTTTAAGTCACGAAGCGAGTCACATTTTATGTCAGTGGATCTTGAATAGGTAATCAGGAGAAAATTTACTGAGTTCTAATCCTTTATCGACCCAGTACGAGTAACAACAGCGCCATGACTCCTTTCGGGCCTTTCCATATTACTCACAAAGAGATTTGCTCTGAAAGTAATTGCGACCCGTGCCTTTAGGAGATTTGAAAATCACTTATTTCCGAGTTTTCAGAAGTGATGCCTTTGGCCAATGCACGATATGCTTTGAAGAGGAGCCGTACGATCCGGTTGGATGCATTCATTGCCTGCAGTTTATCGGCTGCCGACGGTAAGTGATCATCAGGACAATCTGATCGATTCACACCGGGTTAATCAGTTTCTCCAATTAGTAGCTTCGAAAAACCGGGTTCGTGGGTTCGGAGGGTGAAGAGGAGATAACAGAAAAACCCAAAGATTAACTGATGTTGTCGATTAGTCATCAATCGCTGTTGCTTTGAAGATGAGATAAAAAGTGCACGAATCACACCATAGGGGTGAGTATTCGCTGTGCAAAAATGGGCAAATTATTCATTGTGGCTCGCTCTTACGAAAGTTAGTCCTGTAGGGGATTGCTTGGGATAGGTTTGTTGGCGTTTGGGTAAGTTTTCCGGGTTGGGCGGGAGTGAGGTAGTAAGAAACAACGCTCTTGTTAGTGCAAGAATAGCCGATGATCAAATCCTAGGCTGTTGCCCACAGTAGCCTCCAGTTGTCAATATTTACGGGCCGACAAGATGGCTCCAGACACAATCGGGACACCATAAATACTGGGCTTCACACCCGCTAAGCACCAGGTTCGACACTCCTTCCTCTGCAATTTCCAGCGCGGGAAAGTGCAGCGGGTAAAAGCGCCATCAACTACTTGAACCTGCACTTGGTTGATTTACATACTCTCCAGCCGTCCAACCGTACTCACTTTTCATTCGCCCGACCCTCCCCACAACCCTACATGAGGTTGTGCTGAACAATCTACTCTGGGGGTAGGTTACGGTAGCCCGAGAGTACCACATTGTGCCGTTCCGCGGCTCGAAAGTGTGCGACAGCGGCGCTAGGCCTTACAAAGTGAGCTAATGATGGCTAATGTGGGCTAATGGACGAGTTACCTCGTGCACACCCCATGACACGTAGGATTACGACGTAGCGGCTAACTCAAATACGTGCGGGTTAGTGGAGCAAGCAAGTTCGTGCAACTCGTCCGGCTCCGCCCCTTCCATTTTTCGGGGAGAGAGGATACTTGTTAATGGCTTTATCGAAGGTTTTTGTGGTCCTTTTTCATTTCCGGTCAGTTCGGCATCCAAAATTTCATAATCGACCACTGCTACCCCCCCCCCAATTTCACATGGGCTTGTTGCTTTACCTAAACGCCTCAATTACTTGCTTCTAGATGTAATGGCAGCCTTTCTAGAAACTGTACAGTCACTGAGACGACTGGTTCCGTTCATAGACACGTTATGCTATGTTATTGCCTACAATATCGATTAGACGCGTCGCGTCGCGCGAGTCGGCGTCCAGGCGCGCAATTTTTTGCTGACGTAGGTGGAAATCGATTTGCATGCCCGGTGAACGTCACTCAAGCGGTGATTTGCATGTGCGGCTTGCTAGAGTCTATAAAGCTGAGGGTCCGCTTTGCGACCGCTCTCTTGATTGTCATGTTATGTGGACACTTTAACCAAACAATTATTAGCCTAGCTTTAAGCACGTTTTGAAATTATTAACGCACGATTTAGTGCATGTAATCATTTTGCACCTTCGACCTGCGTACGCTGATAGGAACGAGTGACATTTCTACAATGAAAAACAAGATTACATATTGCTCTTATCATGTTGGGAACAAAAATGAAAGCGTGTCGACGTGACAGCTGCATCGATTTGTAGACAAAAAAGGCAACCAGTATTCGTGACTATGGAAAATATCGCGCACAATAGTCAACAATTATTGCACTACGTATCTTTGATTTTATTTACTTTAATTCGTACTATGGTAAACCCACGGTAAGCTGAAAGTGGGCAGCAAGCATTGAGAGGAAGGCGGAATTGGCAGAAAAGAACTTAAAGGCACATTCCACAATCGAGAGGTGTGGTAGCTTCTCTCTGAAAATGAACGAACACGTAAATGGATACCGGTAACGAGGGAAAAGAGACAGAAAACTAAGAAACATTGGAATCGAAAGTATTCATTTCCGTAAAAGAAAAAACCTCAAAAACATGCGACAGCAAGTGGGCAGCGCCACAATGAAGAGATAGTGGGTGCCTGAGAGAACAGCAGACGACAGAAAATAAGGGATGTGCGAGACGCAGACACCCCACCAACTCGATCGCTGCGTTACAAGTAGCAAGTGCAGCCATTAGTGCGACACTGAACAAGACCGCAATCGCCAATGTCTCTAATTTACGGGCTTTGTGTTGGCAAGTAGTCTAACGCTGCCTCAACTAAATGTATGATCCGTATTGATTCATTATAGAACGCCGTTTCCACATCGCTTGTCGGATCCCCTTTAACTTCTCGAACGTTAAAGCAGTGAGCCTGTCAAATCTGGAAGGTTTGTACATAGAAAGCAGATTGTTATATTGTGCGCCAGTAACGAAGAAACAGAAATAACCCAGACAAAACCATCAGAATGACACCCTTCTTTGGTCCGTTGATTTTGCACGAGTTCACAGTTCTCGAGTAAGACAACCATGACGGATTATACAGCAGATAGTACCACATATGTCCATTTGTACAAAATGCGCTGTCAATAGAACAGAACGATGTTGCGCTTTTGGAGGTTGTCATTTTGGTCAGAGCGTGATTGCGTTCATAGAGATACCTTTTCGCTACTAAAACGAAAATGTGCCTTTTCTCCTTCGAGGTGGCCTGGTACCCTTTCAATAGAATAGACATTGTTCGGCTTAATTGTACCACTGCCTCGAATCCTGTGTTTACGCAACTTAACAAAAAGCTGGCGAGCTACCGATTCAACAAACAAGGCGTTTTATATAGTATAATATGATAACTGAATGATTAAATTATAGGCACAGCATCGTATAACTTCTGGTCCGTTCGATATGGACAGCGTTGGAACTTTTCCCCTCTGAAATAACGCCCAAGCGTCAATTAAGTAGGTGCCCTGTCGCGTTACAAAGGGCCATAAACTCGAAGCTGTAAAGTCATCTTATTCGCCAAGGCAGCTTTTGAATTTTTTTTGGCCTTTGAGGAACCGCTCAAGCAAAAAAATATGCTCGTTTTTCGAAATTTCGCGTGAAGAGACCCTGCAGCTAAAAAAACCGCTTGAAAAACCGCCCCATCCAGAAGTATCAGATATATACGGCCGATGTCAGACTTAGCGAAATTGAGGCGATCCGCCCTAAAGCGATTTTTTGCCAGCGTCTGCGGTTGCGTTGGGCACCCAGTCAATCCTAGTGGCTTTGCTACACGGAACGCGAGCGTGTACGCATTGCAATCGCTCGATTCGCGAAGTCTGACATCGGCCTACGGAATTACAGAGGAAAGGCAGCGACTTGCCTCCCATGCATTAACATTAACTAAAGATAACAAAGGTGTATGTTTGAATAAACGAGCACTTCAGGTAAAAAATGGAAAAAAAGTTAAATCGAAAAGTGGCAAAAGTGATTCACTAATTATGGGTCAACCTAATAAATAGTATAGATGGATGGAATGTGGCTTGTCAGCACAGATTGGGAGTAACTTGAAGGAGGTGGCGTCCGAAATCAACCAATTACTTTGGGATGAGCCATGCATCCGACTTTACCTCAGGATCGTAGTAGCATTTACAAGAGTATTTAGGCCACTACTGAGTTCCCCCCAGAATTAGCCATATCCTGACCCCGCCCACCGCGCAAACTCCGCCCACAACCCCTGAATAACACATTTTTGTAATTATTTTTTAAAATTTTATTAATATCTATCACACCCCCAACTGCACCATTCCACCACTACATCTCGTCCACCATTCAATCCCTTCCCCTACGCATACAACTGCCCCGCCCACTGCGTTAGCTCCGCCCATTCCTTTATTTAGGAATTTTTACTACACTCACAGCGGCTTATATACACTTATCGCATACACCATACATACATACACACATATGTATATACATACATACAACGTAGTAGCATTTGAATGAGTATTTGGAGCTAATACTGAGTTGTAAAGGCCGAACAATCCCCAGTCAGCATATTTTTCCGCCTAGAAAAATCTGATATCATAGAAAAATCTGATATCAATCTATAATAATAGTAAAGCCTTTCCGGGAAACTATAGAGTTAGGCATAGGCTGAACTCGATCTCAGACTGAAACTCGATCTCAGGATCTCAGACTTCATCCTAGAACCATGACTGCAGTACCATTTGCTGCGGCCATCCATGATCGATAAACTATTATATAATACTAATTTCTTACCATATAGATCTTGATCAGGAGCCGATTTCAGGTGCGCGAATCGCTGGTACGACGTTGCCTGCCGCCTTGGCCGACGCAGGCAATGTCCCTTGTGTCGTCACGAGTGGGAAGAACTACCGGAAGTGCTGGACATCTTCGAGCTGACACTCGACTGATTCGAACTGGCTTCCTGAAATCCCCGGAACAACCATCATTCTGTATTATTTATTACAAAATAGTCTTTCAGAAACATCTGAAAGATTATTTTCAAGCCTTTTTTCCTGATCACTGTCGAGAACTACCGAGTGAAGTAGTGACGAACGAGTACTTTCCATTGTATATCTTCTTGAAATCATATTGATTTCGATTTTTATTTCCGTGCACTTATTTACTTATTTGGCTATAAATTGTTCTTACACATATATTAAATTATGCGAGGTACTCAGTACCCGAAGACCTGTAAGCTCAAATAGACTTAGAGCAAGTACCACTCACATTGCCGATGCCGCTAGGAAGTGCAGACTTCTGTAACGACTATTCAGTACAGACATTTCTTGGCCTGGGGAAGGACTTAAAGGCACACGCCACGAGCTGAGGTGGATCAAACTGTCTGGTGGTTAGGATAACGCTGGCCACTAAAGTCGCAAATGTGTCCCTTTTGCAGCTAAGAGAGGGGAAAGGTGGAGAGGCAGCGATCAGTTTCTCCTTCTGGGATTGAATGCAGGCCTAAGGTTGGCTTCGCTCAGACTTACACATTGGCTTATCCTTAAGGCCAGGGTAAAGCTCAGACTTAGGTTGAGGCTTGCAAAACAGAGGTGTCCTTGTCAGAGATGGGCCGACCTGAGAAGGAGAACTGATATACACGACCTATTTGTTACATGCGGGTTTCTGTCTCCTTTCATGCGTTGAAACCGAGAAAAGTGGCCTAGAACATGAGCAATGCGACCCTAACTTTGCCCTTGATTCTCGCACTGACGCTGGCTCTATCGGTGCTGTTCTTAGGCCAACATTCTCTCTGATAGAGCGGTTGGAGTCAGACGGCGAGTGTCAGTCAGTCGTCGGTGGGAGCGCAAGCGGCGCAAGCGGCGCGAGAACGGCCCTGCTAGGCGCTGGGGCTTTCCTCACTGCAAACGCTCGTTCCGCGATATAAGGGAGCCTGCCTGACCTCCTACCTATTTCGCCTTCGTCACATGCGACTTCATCGTGATAGTCTCCTCAAAATGGCCTTTGAAGGCAAAGTTCGGGCTCAGACCCACCTAATAAGCCCTTAAAGTGGCTAGAAGTGCATGGGACGCAACTGCAGGCGACTCGCCAAGTTCCCGCATCCAAATGCGTCACTAAGGCGCTAGGGGCCAAGGACTTTGACACGCTCCACCTGTTGCGACACGCTCCGCCCACCGCTCGATATTTTGTCTGCGTCGCAATGCTGATCTGCTATGCTCTCTCTCTCGGATTTCTCTACCGCTCTCCGCGCTCACATTATCTCTCATCTCCCTGCCGGCCTTTTGAACTTCTCCGCAACGTAGAGCAAAAGGCTCGTATTTCCTGTGTATTTCACGATTTTTTTCCTTTTTTCTCCACTGGCGGTCCACCTCCACCCCTACATCACATTTGAGTAGAATTACCTCATCAGTTTAAGCTTGAATCTTGCCTTTAAGGTGAAGTGATGCTCTGGTGGTGGAACTGGTGACACTCATTCTTGCTAAGAGATGCGGGTTCGAATCCCGCCTGGAGCGAAGAGTATTATCCGTAACTCGAGTTCTCGTGGCAATTTTCGCATGGCGCACTACGGCCAAACATTGCAGCAGATAATTGAAAAGAAGTCAGAACTAGAGACAATTTCGGAAGAAACTAAGGCACTATTTGCTCAGACCTGAAAACAGAAGTAAGAAAGGGGAAGAGCGTAGTACAAAAGGGAGACTTTTCAAGGAGTTGGTTGGATGGCATCTTCAAGCAACAGAGTAATAGAAAGACTGTCTATATTTCGCAAGCAACATTTCAGCGGTACCATCCCCCCCCACGCACACACCCACATCCTTATGAAAGGACGCTTCGGAAAAGGCTTTTTGGAACCCGAAAATGCAGCTATTGCTTTACGATTGGGTTTCTGAGGACCAATTGCTTAGTGCGTCACATCCCCAGCTAATTTTTACGTTTTTGTCACGATTCAATTTGCTACCGTCGAAGAAACGCCCTTTTCTGTTGCCCTTGTCGAGGCACTCGCTTTAATTCACGATTTTTGCTTTCGCACCCAACTATGCCTTGTGCTTATTAGGGATACGCATTGTACTCAAATTATCTCATTCGGATGCGCCATGGCTTTCATTCTGTTCAGATTGAAGAACTAATCGGAATCGGTCCAACGAGGTCACCAGCTCTCATTGTGAGGGATGTGAGGCATGAGGGGCTTCAAACAGTGATCTCTGGCCAATATAGCAGTATTTAGATTGAAGCAACCTACTATTGGGGCAACAACCTCAGATTAGATGAAGCAGTCCTCGACCTCAAATGAGATGA